TTTTTTTTTTTTTTTTTTTTTTTAACAAATTACTTGGTCAAAGGCTATTATGAAAAACATACCGGGTGGGGGAGCCATTGCCCACCATTTCCTCAATTGAAGGTTCGAAGAATTTCCGGAGCGGTGCATCGCAAACTGTATTTAGTAAGGTGTTGGTTTGTTTTGGTGTTGGAATCTTATTTTTTGGTTATATGTTGAAGAAAAAAAAGGGATTTCGGGTAAGTTTTTTACTCGATATGGATGAATTTTTAAGATTTTAACTTCCCTTTTTATGTTTTTTTGCTTTGACAGTATACTACTTGGCCTTCCGATATTGATAAATCTGCTTCCTTGGACGACCTTTCTGGAGTGTTGCGATTTTTGTTAGGTAAGTTTTTATTTTGGGGGTGTTTGGAATTCATTTATTTTTGGGGATTTTGGGTACATCTGCTTTGCTCGACTTCATCAAAGGTTCAATTCCAATTTTTTTTTTTTTTTTTTTTTTAATGTTGTTTAGCTGGAATTTGATCAACTGGAAAGAGTTCCTTGTGTCAGTATTTCTATCTGGTTTTTACTTTAAGAATGAGGAAAATTTTCTGCTGAGTGTTGCCACAATAATATGTTGTAATAAATTAGGCAGAACCTCTGAAGTGTAGTTAATGAAAGTATGAAGTGCAAATTCAACACCATTTCATTTAATCAGATTTTGGGTGCATAAATTAATCTGTATGCGTGTTGATTTTGCTCATGTTTGTGTTAATCCTTCGATTATTTGATCTATTAGGCATTGTGCTACTGAATGCTTAAAGGACGAAATGTTCAACGTGTATGAAACGAGGAGGAATTTAAGATTGATATATAGGCAACTAAAACTGGAATTTGGAATAATGAACTGATATTTTTGGGTACAAATAAATTTATGCTTATGGTTTTGATTGTTTTGGCCTAAAAAAAAAAAAAAAAAAAAAAAAAAAAAAAAAAAAAAAAAAATTCAGCTACCACCGTTATTCAACCTTCCAAAGTCACAGCTTCAATGCTATGGAGAATCGATGTATTGCATTGATGCTGATTTTTTTAAGCAAGTGCAACCATGGGGAAAGCCCTCTTGACAGATTCGTATCTGTTACTGCTTGAAGCATATCCGCCTTGCATCCTTTGATCTTTGGCGTGGCTCTCTACAATCCTGTTGTAGGAGAGACTCATCGTAGCTCGCAGGGTGCTCTTAATGTGCTTCTGGAACAGGTATATGTTATAGATTTTCTGCATCTCATATCTGTACCTTATTAATTTCTGCTTTTCTTGTATGAAGGCTGCCGAATGTGAATTTGTTTCCATATTTAGTTATGTATTCAGGATATGATGGACTCTTCTTTTGTTTCATCGCGCCTATAGACCCATGCTGTATTTGTAAATAAAACAACTACTCAGGATTTCATATAAGATAGAATACTCTGTTGAGAATTGGTCGCTATTGTGCATCAAAAAGATACTCAAGTTTGAGCTCACCATAGCTAACTTGCTATGCTTAGCAAACCTAGCTATGAATCTAATTCAACTGGCCATATAAGTGCTTTATGTTCCTGAAACTCTGTGATTTTGTACTTGATGATGTCAGGTGTTGCATCATCCTCCAGTGACTGTACTTCATGCTACTGATGAGAAAGAAAACATCGAAATGGTATGATGTTGGATTTTTGCCATCAGATTTGTGTACATAAATAATATTTGGGTATAACAATCCCCTTGCATCATGGAAATGTAACACTTAAAACAGTTCAATTAGCTTGCTATGGACCTATTGAATTTCTCAAGTGAATTCCATATATGTGGAATTTTTTATGCTTTAGGATGATGATTATTGGGGTGGGGTGTATTGTCTGGTTATTTTGAAGTGTGGGTGCTTGCTGTAATGTCTTCTTTTTCGAGATCTGCAGAGGCTTTAATTTGCTTGAGTAGTTAAGGGCTTGATTGAGTCCCATTATTTTCAAAAAAAATATATTCTTCAACAGTGATTTGACATCATTTCAACCACATTATTCAATAAAATAATATTACACGCAAATCTAAAAAAATTTCTTATTTTTAACCACACATTTTCCATTGATTTGACATGAATAATGTGTTTTCTTCCTAGAATGTGGCTCAAACATGGGCTAAATTGATTTTGTCTACAAGTAACAGAATGTGAAATATTACATGAAGTCATATTTTTGCACAGTGTATTGCCAATATATTGCATAATGTATAGCTAATCCAACCAAGTCATATTAATTTGCTTGATTTTTCATTTAGCTCCATTAGTATAACTAACGAGCAAGGTTTCAGTTATGTTTCTTTTGTGTAGTTTTAATTAGCGTGTAAGTGATGCAGGAGTTGGCTAATTTAGGGCAGAGGATTTGCTAAAAAGGTGAAAAATGCCACTCTTGCTGATGCGTTTCAAATCAAAGATTTTGGAGCGAGATGTGAATGGCCTGGAGGTAAAAGTTTTTTCTTCGATGTCATCGATTCGTTTGTAGGTAAAAGTTTTTGCTTGATTTAACTCAGAATTTCCTCCTATTCAGATAGTTAATGAATGGCCTGAGGTCCCTGCTGGTGTAAAATTCGATTCATCTAATGTAGAGCTGTTAGAACATTTGGCCGCAAAAATTGGGGTAGGAAATTCAAAACCACATGTGTTCATTGATGATTTCATTCCGACTCTTGAAGGCGATGAAGGGATATGCTATGCCCATCCAGAAAATTTTCCCGGTGAGTGAGCACTTAACTCCTCAATACTCCTATTAATTATCTTTGAATTTTCATAAGATTGGCTTAAGACTAAACAAAGAAGACGATGCATTATTTTCTGCCTTTTTTGTAATTATAAGCTCCGAGTAAGATAAGTAGAAGTGAAAAATGATTCACTACCTCTCATAGTACTATGATCTTTGAGAGCTCTTTTGTATTTAAACTAAGAAACTAAGAAAGTGCGAGAGATTTCTATGTATGTTCTCTTGGAGAGATTTGTTCCTTTTGAATGGGAGATATTTTTCTTTGATGAACTGATCAGTTTTTCTTGAAATGCAGGAAGGTGATGCTTTTGACCTCCAGAAGATAGTAATGTGGATTGCCCGCTAGATGTTCGTAATTTTTTATTTTTTTTTTAAGAGGAGTCTAGGAGAGTTGTTCCATATTTTAAGTGTATGGATTCAAATTCATAATGAAATTATTGTTTTTTCGAAATCCAAAAATCTTTCACAAGATGTAAATCTTTAATTTTGGTAGGTCAATTTCGTAAATTGCTGTAAAAAGTAGAAAAAATGTTGAATTAATAAAAATAGTGTAAAATGATTTACGACGACAAAAAAATATTTCAAAACAAAGAATAAAAGTAAAGAAAACGTGCAAAAAAATGCTGTAAAAACATAATACAAAAACAAAAGCAATAGTCAATGAATGTTGCCAAAAGTGTAAAGGCAACAGTTAGTGAATATTGTGAAAAGTATAAACGCAAAGGTCGATGAATGTTGCAAAAATTTTAAAGGCAACGATCAATGAACGTTTTCGAAAATATGTAAAAAAATGTTGCAAAAAGTTAACAAAAATGTTCAATGAATGTTTTGCAACATTTAATAAACATTGCAAAAAGACCTTTCGCAATGGTCTTAGAACGTTGCCGTATCTTTCAGTTCTACGGCAACATCGAAGCCTACAATACACGCCCGAACATTGCAAAAGGTCTTTCGCAATGTTTTTTGACCATTGCAAAAGATAGTTTTTGGTGTAATGACACAAACTAAAGTTCTAACCTATTAAAAATCATTTCAAAACTTATAAATATTATATTAAAAAAAAAAAAAAAAAAAAAACTTTAAAGTGATAATTATACGCTCTCTTCAAATTATTATACAAAATCCAAGGTTGAATAACTAAAATCCAGCAACCCTCAGTTTCTCTCTGTCCATGGTGATTTTACTCAAGATCTTGCAAGCCAATTACCCTTCTTTTGTTATCATAAAATCATCAACAAAACCCCAGCATAAGATTAAAAAATTTCAGTAGTTCAAGAGGTCATAAAACACTGAAAAATAATAAAGAGAAATCTCAAAATCATGACTATACTTACCAGCCCAGAAATTCAGTTTCGAGTTTTTGTTTGCTACTTCTCCTTTGTTCCTCTACCTTCTCCGTTACTTGGAATCAATTGGATGTAAGTTCGAGGAGTAAATCTCTTCTTTAGGAGAAATATATAGATTCTTGAAGGATTGGGGGGGGTTGTGATCCTTTCTTAATGGTAAGAGAAAATTGTTGTTTAGAGACAAGTGTTACAAGAATGAGGTGGCTCCTTATAGTAAAAATCTGATTTGCACTAATCCTTGGAGTTATATGTGACTTATGAGATATAAATAAGGTCTTAAAGGAGTTGGAGACATGACGAATGCTTAGGACTAAAGGAATTTGCTATGAAAAAGACAACTAGTCCAATCATGAAGTGGTAACCTATGGTAGAATCTGATTTACACTTATCCTTGCAGGTCAAATTCAAGTGTTCTTGATCTATTTTAATGTGCTTACGAACTAATTTAATTGCTATGAGATCCTAAAATAATTTATAGAGTTAATTCTTTAATCGCTCATTCGATTCCTTATCCGATTGCGACCTGATTCTTGACCGATTACAAAATTTTGTTCTACATCATTTATGCCTTCACATGAACCTTGTTTTTTTTATTTGACAAGTTGTATTTTTTATCTGACAAGTCATTTCATGTCTAATGTCCCAAATATATTAATTACTTATCTAGGGTTTCGAAGGGCCTTGATCAAACCAAATTAAAAGCATGTAACCTTATCGATTATAATCTTGATACTTTCACGATTACAATACTTAACCAATCAATATCTAACCCCTCGACCGACCTAAATTTTCCACTATAGCGCAATGTGAAATTCGCCACTTAGGTTGAGAAGGTCAAAGACTAACATTGCAGAAGATATTAAAATGCAACGATCGAATGTACACTCAAAAGAGAAAGCAATTATGTACTATTGATGCAAATACAAATGACAACGTAAATAGAATGTAATGCATGAATTATATTGGCCGCGTGAGTAATGTGAGGTTCAGGGTATTACAAATACCCTTAAGGGCTTATCTTGATTAACTTCGAGATATAGTGAGTTGACTTAATTGAGTACACTACTAAAAAAAAGGCTTTTGAACTACGATAATACAATCCGTTGATAATTAGAAATGGATTATCTATTGATAAAATTAATAGGCTTTCAACCCGACAATTAGCAATGGAAATTCTATTGGTAAAGGTGATAGATCTTAACCAATGGATAATCTATGCTTAATGAAGTATTTTTTACATTTGCACTTTCACCTACGGATATTCCACAGGCGACATAATCAATTTTTTTCAAAAAAAATTTCAAACTTTCACATATGGAAATACAATAGAAAAAAACAATGAAATGATTGATAATTTGTACGTCTTGACCGAGATGAAAGAATCACATGGTCGACATACGAGAAATGATGCGAATCATACTTAGGGAACTAAATATTCCAAACTTTCAACTCTCTTTTAACTCTAGATCATGAAATGATGTTCTGTATACATATGGCATTTGAAATTTAATATTCAATGTAATAAATTAATCCATTACAAATTTAGTGCATTTCGATTCAGAAGCAAATATTAATTTGATGTTATTTTTTATCTACAAGAAATTATGATTGTGGATTAAATCAATAAAAAATTCAAGAACTCTACAGCTAGCTAATAGTCAATCAAGAAGCCTCATGGAGTGGTTAAAGACATACTCATCATAATTGGAGATTTCATCTTTCTAACTGATTTCATCATCCATGATATAGAAGAAGTTCAAGACATGCCAGTAATCTTAGGACAACCATTCTTAACAATTGGACATGCACTAACAAATTTCAAAAAATGTGAGATTATCTTGAGGATGGAGGACAAACAACAAAGTTTCATCATGAATAATCCACTCAGGCGGAACAATTAAGGACCGTAGTGAAAATATTAAAATTTGGAGGCTTTAAGGTAAATCAAAAAATATTTGCCAGTGTAGTCGTTGTAAGGCTAAAAACTCTCTTTTCAAACCACCTTGAATGCTAAAACAACAAAGTCAGGCTAGCGATTAGAAACAAGCGCTTATTGACAGACAACCCAATTTTCTTTTATTTTGTTAATTTTGCTTTTTAGTTAATAGGATTAATAAAATTTTACTGCTTTTAGTAGTTAGAAATATTTATTTCCATATTGCCCTATACGTTGTGAGATGTTTGAGCTTATTATAAATTCTTTAATATTAGTAATGATTGATTTCTCTTTATTTTGCTGGAACATGACAATTAAAAACACACAATCCAACACCGAACAAGTGAAAGGACATAGTAGTGTGGATAATCTAGATCGAGCACTTTCATGACATTCAAGCTATTGCCTTCATACTGATATTAAGGGAGTCCTTCATTCTCTTCTTTGCCATTTTATAAGCATGATTATTGATATACTTTTAGACATTGAAAGCAATATCTTGTTATAAGTTTGGAGGTGTGAGAACATCGGGTATGCTATCCGTTTTTACAATTTTCTGAGATTATTTGTTTGAAAAAAGAAAGGAAAAAATAAGTTAATTTCAAGTTATTGTTTATTTTGTGTGCTTGTTTGTGTTAGATAATCTTGCCAACAATGGTGCATATATCGGAATCATGTGTTAGCTATAAATTTTGAAAAAGTTGCATATTGGTTGATTTATCCTTATTCATGTAAAACTTGACATTATTATGCGCACTAGACTTATACTTTGTATCATGAAGGATTAATTTGATTTATATTGATGAATAGGTTGAAAATAGTAGAACTTAGATGTAAACCAGAAAAAACCAATACATTTTAAATCCTTAAACCAATTATAGGATAACTTGGGGTCATTGAATTGTTGTAGGAAAACATTGAGATAAATATGAATTCCGTATTTGCTAATTTTTTGTGTGGATTGTTAGAGATCCACAATATATAAACTAGGGGAAAATCTTAAGTTAGAGGTTGGTTTTTTAGTATAGGTGTTTAATGAAGAGCATTGCCCTAATCATTGCATAAAAAAGGAAAAAAATTGACATAAGCTACCCAATAGAAGATCTCAATGAGGACAAATATAAAATATCCCAAAAAGAAACTCAAAAAAGATAATGCTAGTGCATGAAATAGAACACGCACTACATGCATTGATTAGCCCCAAACATTTGTTTGAAAGAACTAGACATTTAACATCGACTAGCCTAGGTGATTTTTAGAGGTTGAAACAATAAAAGATATGAAGAATTCTCATTTGTTGATATATTTATTTACAATTAATATACAATCTTAGCCTTTAGACCACACATTGGAAAAAGGTAAAAAAAAAATTAGGTTTGGGATGTGTATCTTATGAATGAAGAAAGAAAATATTTGATCATTGAAGGTAGGGCTTGAATTTATCTATGACTTTATGATGTTTTACATAAATTTTCACACACACATCGATCTTGTATTGGATAATTAAAATTGAGTTAATAGTATGATTTTGAAGTTGTTCATAGTTTTAGACTCAAAAATTTGAATCTTGATACCAACAGTGGGTTAATTAACTAAAGTTTGTCAAAAAAAAATTCAAGTTATATTTTGATTAAGGATAAACAATTGTTCAAGTTTGGAGTATTTGATAAGTGTTTTTCTACACTTATCTGGATCATTAAATTAAAATATTTGTTATTCATTTTAGTGAATTATGGCTTACTTATGTATATATTGTTGACCTATGGTTGACTTCATTCTCAATGTTTTGATCATTACAAACAAAATTAATATTGTTTCTAGTCATTTATTTTGAGTGATAATAGTTTAATGTTAAAATCAATCAAGCATCATATATCAGCTTTGAAATGAAGATCAAAGTGGAAGTTAAGCATTCAAGTCAAATAATTCGAGACGAGAGTTTAAAAGATAAATGCCAAAAAAGATCAAGATCAAGAGCATGAGAAATGGCATCAAAGAAATATCAAGACGAGAAGTTTAAGAGCCAAGAACCAAACATGAAAGAAATTACAAAGCAAGATCAAAGACTTGATTCCTTAGATAAAATGTAAAGGTACTAACATCTTGATATTTGGCAATAAATGTTTAAACTCAAAATCCTTCTCTGCATTAAAAACAATTTTTCTTGCA